TTGTAACACCTCGAATGCTCTCTGGGCCTCCTCCGTCCACTGGAACCTTGAACTTTTTCTCAGCATTCGAAACAAAGGACCACTCTTCTCCGCTACCGTAGATATGAAACGGCTCAAGCCCGCAATCCTGCCCGTCAAGATCTGCACCTCCTTCACTTTTGTGGGTGGTTTCATCTCGATCACCGCTCTCACTTTCTCTGGGTTGACCTCGATCCCCCTCTTCGTCACCATGTACCCCAGGAACTTTTCCGACTTCACCCCAAAAGAACACTTAGCAGGGTTCAGTTTCATGCCATATCTTCTCAAAGTCAAGAACGTTTCCTTCAAGTCATTCACATGATCGGCCTTCCCCTTACTCTTCACTAGCATATCATCGACATACACTTCTATATTCCTCCCCAGCTGTTCCTTGAAGATTTTATCGACCAACCGCTGATACGTTGCACCCGTGTTCTTCAAACCAAAAGGCATCACCACATAACAATAAGTGCCTCTGCTCGTAACAAAGCTCACCCTCTTCCTATCCTCCCAGGCCAAAGGGATTTGGTGATACCCCTGGGATGCATCCATAAGGCTGAGCAGTTCACAACCTGCTGTGGAATCGACCAACTGGTCGATCCTGGGCATTGGATACAAATCTTTCGGACACGCCTTGTTTAAGTCATGAAAATCAATACACATCCTCCACTTCCCTCCAGACTTAGACACCATCACCGTGTTCGACAACCATTCGGGAAACTGGATCTCCTTAACATGGCCCGCCTTCAACAACTTTTCAACCTCCTGCCCAATCACCTTGTCCATTTCCGCGCCATGGTGTCTCCTCTTTTGTTTCACCGGCCTCACCGTTAGGTCAATATTCAAACGATGTTCGATCACCTCCGCCTTTATCCCTGTCAACTCCTCAACCGTATACGCGAAAACATCCGCGAACTCCTTGATCAATCCGATCAATTTCGACCTTATGGGCTCCTCGATCTCTTTTCCTATCCGAAACTTCCTCTCCTCACATCCTTCCACCATCTGGATCTCCTCAATCTCCTCTCCGGGCTGCATCTCTACTCTCTCCTTTCCTTTATCTACCTTCTCCCTTTTCTCCTTCGACCTCGAACCTCCTGGTCGATTTGACATCCCCTCTTTGAGCTTCATCCGCTTTCTCGAGAGCTGTCTATTGTTGCTCACCGTGGTTTGATAACAACTCCTCGAGGTAAGCTGATCTCCTGCGACCTCACCAACGTTTTCGCCCACTGGATATTTGATCGTCATATGGTACGTCGACACGATCGCCTGGAATGCATTCAAACTGGTCCTTCCCATTATGATGTTGCATGATGACTCTGCTCCAACGACCACAAACCTCACCATTCTCACCTTCCTCGTTATCCCATGCCCCAAGGCGACAGATAGGCTCACCTCTCCCATCGGCATCACCTCGCTTCCATTAAATCCATACAAGGCTGTGGTCACCGGTTTCAGCTCGAGGTTGAGTTCTTTGTTTATCTGCATAAAACAATCATAAAGCACTACATCCACCGAGCTCCCCGTATCAATGAACACCCTCTTTACATCAAAGCCTGCGACCTCCGCTGTTATCACCAACGCGTCATTGTGGGGCAACACCACTCCCTCTGCATCCTCTGCTCGAAAACTTATCTCCGGCATCCGAGCAGTGATCCTCACCTCCTCTCTCTTTCTTTTCATCGCTCAAACATGGCCATTCCTTGCATTGTTCGAGTCTCCGTCAGTCAGGCCCCCCGAGATCATATAGATCGTCCCCCTCTTCACTGGGCCATGATCCTCCTGCCCTCGATCTCGACTTCCTCGCCTCCTTTTGCCTCCTCGATCATCTCTCCCTCCTCGAGGATCGTCCTCCTCATCATCATCTCGATCACTCCGCTCCACCGAATCCTCCAGACACTTTCCTTTGCCCTTCCCCTTCGCCTTGTCTTCATATACAAACTCCTTAAGATATCCTGCCCTAATAAGGCGCTCGATCTCATTCTTGAGGTGCCTGCACTTCTCCGTTGTATGCCCATAATCTTTATGAAAACGACAATACTTCCCCGACCTAGGTTGCGTTGGGCCCTCACGCCTCGACTTCGGCCACGTCACGTCCTTATTCTTGATCTTCTTCTCAATAGCCACCAGCACCTCCCCCATCTTTGCATTAAGGGGCGTAAAGTTATGGAACCGCTTCCCTCCAAACACTGGTCGATCTTTCCACCGGTCCTCTCGCCCTCGATCAACCCTGCCACGCCCCTCTCTCCTAGGCGATCTCCTTCCTGGTGACGCCTTTCGAGGTGAGCTCGTCCTTCCTTTCTTCGGCTCCGGCCTAGCCAACTCCTCCAACTTAACGAACTCCGCCTCCGTATCTTCCAGATTAATATATTTCTTACACCTTTTCAGCACATCATCATACGCACGAGCAGGGGTTTTGGCTAAAGATGTTCAACAGGGCCCTGCTCGCAAACTCCGTATTAACCCCCCAGCCTTCACCTCGTCCGAGGCCGTGGGGTTCTCCAAATAAGTTTGATTGTATCGCGCAACATACTTGCGCAACGATTCTTTCTCCCCTTGCCTCATGGCCATCAACATCAAATACGTTTTCTCCTGCGCCACCGCACTCGCATACTGGGTCATTAGCTTTTCCGCGAAATCGTCAAAGTCCTTGATCGATCCATGAGGGAGCTGCTGAAACCAATCGAGCGCACCTCCCCTCAAGGTCGACAAGAATGCCCTGCAGCTAACAGAATCAGAATAACCATGTAACACAGCAAAATTCTCAAACGCCCTTACATGCCTCGAAGGGTCAGTGGTCCCGTCGAACATCAAACTCATGTCTCTAAAATTCGCAGGTAGTGGTACAACCAATATATCCCTCGAGAACGGATGTCCTCGAGCACGCCTTTCAGGTCGACCATCCATCTTAGCCTGCATCTGTCTCACGATCTAGCGGGGCTCCATCTCCTCCATAGCTAGACACGTTCTCATCCACCATCGTTGGTCCAGCAGCCACTCGTGAAAGGCTTTGAGTGACCTGCTGAACCGCTTGTGCCACCGCGTTCGCCACCATTTGCTGCATCTCCTGCCTGGTCATCACCACCTGCTGGCCGGGGCGCGGCTCCTCCACTGGCGGTGGTACTGCTCCCTGCACCGCCGCTCCTTGCTGCAGCGTCACGGCCAGATCTGGTTGCAGTGGCATTGGGGTCGCCGCTCCTTGAGCTGTACGAATCTCCTGGGCCCGGCTTGAGCCCACGTCAGCCTCTGGTTGCACCGGCGTGACTCCTACACCTTGCGGAACGGGCATCGGAGTCACCGGTGTACGCAAGGGTCCGGAGAAGCCCGGAGGAGGGCCTTCTCCAAACGGCCTCATTATCGTCCACGCATCATCGAACGATTCTTGCAAATCTCTCCTAGGAATTCCGTCCGCCATAGCCACCGAGCTTTGGAAATCTCAGCACACCACTTTTCGAACGAAAGTCCCACAAACGGCGCCAAATGGTAACGCAAAACACTCCGACCGGCTTGAAATCAGCTTGCCTCCTTCTTCCTCGCTGGTAGAACGCCGCGTTCCTGCACAGAACTCTCACACCGGAGGGGTTTTCCGGTGAAGAGCCTCCGATGCTTAAGTCAGTATGTGTTTGTTCAATTTTCCAAAGTAAAGAATGGATAAATCGTAAATCACAAGAAAAGACCCACTTCTATATATATAGGAGTGAGATACCTGCCCTAGAAGTTGCCCGGATTTTGGTGAGCTGTCCTGCCCGCACTGCCCGTCCGTACACACATAGTGTGCGTATTGTCAGAGATGTCAGAGGTGGCTGTTGCCACTATCGCTCTGCACCAATGTATTATTGCCACGTGTCCCTCTGAACTGAGGGAAATTATTCCTCTGCGCAGGCCGTTGGGATCTCCTAACGTCACCTACGCGCCTACTCGCGTCCAGGCCACGCTCCCGACTGCTCATTACCTGCTACGTGCTCGATCTGCTCGAGCTCCCCCTTGTTAGGTCGATCCTCGACCAACTCTGCCATTCTGCTCGATCTCTTCCCTTTTGGTCAATCATCCTTCAACCAATGTGGTTTTCTCCACCTCTTGCTTGCCCAACCGGTGCGGTGGAGTGGTCTGCTCCTTAGTTTTATAATATCCCATATCACATACAAAATTTAACTTGCAGTCCGAGCCAATTGGTACACTACACTGACACATATAACAAGTTTATTTTATACCATATTTGTAAGAAAAATAAACAAACAAATTACCTAATACAATATGCATATTAACAAAAGACATATCTTTTTTATACTAAATAAACTTCAAACATACATGAACGGGTACGCATACAACAATAATCAACATGGCAAAAAACAAACAAAAAAACTTCAAATATAAATGAATTGGATAGGAAAACTGTTGTTTCATATGCAAAAGGAAAACAAAACTGAAAAAATATACACACGCATTTCATCAAACATTTGGCATGTGTGATATCGAGAAAATCAAAGAGCAATTTCTGTTCTATTTTAAATATTTTGTCATGTTACCTACTTACCTGGGGCAAGGTTACTGGCATGAGAAGGCCACTAGAAAATTGCGCGGCCAATTTTCGACGAAACGGACACGAATCTAATGAAGTAAAACAACATCTCCAACGTTATCTTCAGTGGCATCATAACAAATCCGATGATGAAAGTATTCGATCAAAACAACATCAATTCGGCTGAGATCTGGAGAAATCTGGTGATCGATGTTGTTGGAGAAATCTTTTCACGAAGGCTTCATATTTCTACAAGACGAAGGCTGTTGCAGAAATCTGGAGCTGCGGCGGTGGCAGAGAGGAGGAGGACGGCTGCAATGACACCAGAGAGAATCCGGGGAACGAGATCGACAGCGGTGGCGTGTGCAGGGCGTGGATGGCCATCGCGATTTTCCCCCTTTTCATGAATTAAAAGTATTCGGTATTTGGTGTTTTATCATTCATAATTAATTAGGTTTTAAATATGGAATCAAGATCTGATAATTGGAATAAGAAAATTGATCTCGTCTTTGGGGCAATAAACTTTAAGTCGTTCATGCGGCAGGTAATTTTCTCTTAGGATATAGCCATATTTGAAGCACAAGATAAAAAGACTTGGGAAAATTCTTAACACTTAGAGCTCATTTGTTTCGCATGATGAGATTAGATTAAATTAATATGGGAAGGGTAGATTGTACTGTGTATGTAAAAGTAAACTCACATTTGTTACGAGTGATTCTTAATTCGGATAAGATAGTGTTGCACTCACCACAATATTTGTTTCTCTAGATAACTAATTAGATATAATTGTGTATTGTCGGCTTTGCCCTTATCACTTTCAATTATTATTTTTCCTCTTCCTTTATTTTTTCATTTTTTAGCCCTCCTTTCTGATAAAGACTTTTATCGTTGCCTTCCATATTTCCCTTCTACATACATATGCACCGCTTTCTTTGCAATAATTAGCAATAATTGCGGCTAATGTTTTTATCGATGATGATGGAACAAATAAACCTTATATCAGTAAATAATAAAAATCCAAAGGCTTGAAAGATTACATAAAATAAGTAATTCCAACAAATTTAAACTAGAAAAAAAGGCTTGCTGACCTTAAAGATGGACTTTGCTGTGACTGAAATTGACGCCAATGCCCCGAGGATGCTACAATTGTTCTTGTTCTAAAAGAGCATTAGGAGCATTAATCCACCCATTATTTCGAACACCTACTAGGATGTTAATGATGCTTTTCCCAATATTATTAAGGTTTTTAAGTGCTTAGTATACATGATCATATCAGCTAGAGTTGTCAACAAACTGAAAGTTCGCAAACAAAAAGCTCGTTCTTGTTGATAAAAGTTTGTTCGTACTAGAACCGAGGGAAGAGGGTGCGGTCCCACCAGATGAAGCACACCATAAGAGGTGGGCCTAGGTTACATCCCAAAACCAAATGGTGATGGGAGGAGTAGCCCACTAGGCTTATACACTAGGCTCATTTTCCCTATAGAATCAATGTGGAACAACTCACAAGTGATATTCCAACGGTTCGTTTACTCAAGCCGAGCCTTAACAAAATATTAGACTCGTTTGTCAATCGAGCGAACACAAGCCTGTTCATATACGTTCAATAATGTTCTCATACAATAATATAATACATTTTTTAATAGTTATTTATATATACTATATTTTTTTGTTCTCGAACAATAAAATAATACATTTTTTAATAGTTATATTTATATATACTGTATTTTAAAAAATATCTAAAGTATGAACTTTTTTATTATTTCTTTTCTTTTTCTTTTTACTTTCATGCTCGAACGAGCTGATCTCAAGTTAATCAAACAGTTTCAATAAGTTTGTTTACCAAATTATTCGAACACGAAAGAACACAAATATTGACGAATAATTAAACGAACGATTTCGAACAAAAAATTATGCACGAATAATAAACAATCAGAGACGAGTTCAAAATTCCCAAGCGCAGTACTAATATCAGCCTGTTAGACTAGATACAACATGGATTTCTAGCCATACCATTCTAACTAGGCAAAGGTGGTCTTCATGGTGTCAGTTTATGAGTTGTTAATGCATTGTCTGAGGTATTATCTCTCCTCGTTCATTACAACTCTCCATTTATTTTCTCTTCTTCATTAAATTTATTTTTTTTATGATATGTTCGTTTTGTAATATATAATTATATATATATATATATATAAAGGTTCCCATGAGAAGAACATCCTAATGTGAGAAATGAGAAGAGATCCTGATCATTCATTATTGTCAAATGGATGGTTCATATAAAAAACTCCTATCATGTGTGATAAGTAAAAAAACTGCCGAGAAAGCGTGTAAAAAAACTACAAGTTTTGTCAGTTAAAGAAGTGCTTAGTGGACTAATTAAATAAATTAAAAAAATAAATAATCTCTCATCTTTTAGACTCTTTTTTTTTTGTTCGAAGCATCTCTTAGACTCTGTTGGTTATGTTTACAGAGTACAACAATAGAGTGCACAGATTATCTCATTTTACATTAAGATTGATTTACAAAAATTTCAGCAGCGACTTTTCCTATTATTCTTTAGTGTTTTTCAAACATGGAATCACCAAGTAAGTCCTTTCTCTTTTATTTATTTATTTAAATATATATATTTTCAAGAAGTTGATGCCAACTTTTTATTATGGATATATATAGAATAGCTTTCAACTAAACTAAAGACTCGCCAACATTAGAAGTACTTGATTCAGGTTTAAAATTTTCATTCCTGTGTTCTCATATAAAAATATTGAGAATTACATTGATTAAAACTATTGAAAAAAACATCTTCTTTAGTTTCAGTTTCTTCTGTCATTTTAGTTTATGTTTTCTGACTACAATTTTGTTTTATTATATGCGTGTTCTACATGATTTTGAATGTTATATTCTAGTGGATATTTCCTATTTGTTGGTTTTCAGTATTTCCATTGTTGTTTAAGTGCTATTTAAAAATAATAATAAATGTTTGTGCACATTTTCATTTTATTTGCTATTTTTCAAGAATAACCAAAATCAGTCGAGATATTCGAGTTGATATATCACCTGGGTCAACTCAATATTACACCCCTTTATGTGATCCTGATTTGAAGCCCTTTGTTGGACAAGAATTTAAGACGTTGGATGATGGTCTTCAATTCTATAAGAAATATGCAGTTCAATGCGGATTTGACATTCGACGTTCAACATTGTCCAAGTCAAATGATGGTGCTTGCATTAGGAGATATGTTGTGTGTAGTAGAGAGGGTGTGAAGATTTATTCATTAATTGAAGATGCGGATGACTTGGGCAGTGCAGGAAAAAAGGCGTAGGGTGTCTAAACGTGTCAGTTGCAAAGCTCGGGTGATTTTTAAGTTTGTTAGCTCTGATAAATATATTGTTGATAAGTTCATAGAGCAACATACCCATTCTTTATGTTCTGAAATGTACAAGCACTTTCTTAATGTGAATCTGGACATATGACATCAAAAGTTTTTGCTTAATTGTTCCCGAGCGAATATAGGCCCAACAAAGTGCTATAGATTGTTTAAAGATACTGTGAGGGGGTACTCAAATGTGGGTTGCACCAGTGTTGACTTCCAAAACTTTTCGAGGGATTTAAAGGCATTCGTTATTGGTGTTGATGCTCAAATGGTGATAGAGAAATTGTACCGTAAAAAGGAATTGTGCTCGGCTTACTTTATTGATTATGCTGTGTACGAGAATGATCAGTTGACGCGGTTGTTTTGGGCTGATCCTATTTTGAGGAAAAACTATGCTTCTTTCGGTGATGTATTATCTTTTTAACGCAACATACTCTACAAACATGCAGTTATTTATATTGTATATATAACATAATGCTTATCATCATATATCATCACATCAACTTTTTTGTTTTCACTTTAATTATGTTGCTAACTTTTGACAAATATTTTATATGAGCAGGTATAACATGATATTTGCTCCATTCACTGGCAAAGATAACCACAGTAAATGTGTAACCTATGCTGCTGCCTTGCTATCCGGGGAGGATGTTGAGTCATATATTTGGGTGTTTGAAAAATTTAAAGAAGCAATGAGCCGTAGTCCTAGCATGATAGTCACAGATCAGGACCCTGCAATTAAGATTGTCGTTGAACGTGCACTTCCAAGTACTAGACACCGCCTTTGCATGTGGCATATTATGCTTAAAGTACCTGATAAGGTCCCAAGTCATTTGAAAAAACATGATGGCTTTAGGAAAAAGTTGAATAATATAGTTTGGTCGGAATCTATTAGGCCATCTGAGTTTGAAGCTCAATGGGATGATCTTATTGATGAGTATGACTTGAGAGAAAATACATGGTTTACGTCTTTGTTTGCAATTCGCCAGTTTTGGATTCCTCATTTTTTTAGGGAATTTATGATGAGTGGCTTATTCAAGACGACATCTATGTCTGAGAGTGAGAATAGTTTTTTTGGAAGATACACCAGTCCTCGTTCTGAATTTTCATGCATGTTGAGAGTGCATTAGATGCGCAGAGGCACGCACAAGAAAAGTTGAACAGTGTTGATGAAATGTGTGTTCCCCAGCTTAGGACGCCCTTGTTGTTTGAGAGGCATGCTTCTAATGTGTATTGTTTGTCCCATTTTTGTTGCAATTTTCGTGTTGATTTTTCCTTTCTTTTTCCCCCATACTAGGTTTATTCCTTGGTTTTTAGGTGGTTTTATAGTTTATTTTGTGTTTGGCTTTATTTTGGTTTTTCTTGTGTTTTCCGTTTGTTTTTTCGGTTTTTCTTTGTTTCTGGTGTGCAGGTCGAAAGCTTCGGGAGAATCTATTTTCCATGATAAGTGGGCTAGGTGAACATCATTTAATAGAGCATTTCGTTGGCGACGCACAGGAAAAAGCGGAATCGAATTCCGATGTCAAACGAGTCCGAACGACTCCGAAAGGTGAAGTCACGCAAGTGGTCCGAGCACCAGTACTAGCGCCGCGCCGTGACACCCGTCACGGGCCTTCAGACGGTGCCTCTCCCATGCCGTGCCGTGGAGCGTCCCGCGCCGTGCCAGCGTCCCAGCCTCGCGCCGCGCCACAGGCCACGTCCTGACAAAAGGATTATCTTACCCTCCTGGGTGAAAACCCTAGGGTCGGGAAAAACCACAGAACACTCATTTTCCTTTTCTTTTCCTTTCTTCTTCATCATTTTCTTCTTCTTTCCATCATTTTCTTCCATTTTTCTTCTTCTTTATCAAGGGATTAAGCTTGTAATTTAGATTCAACACTGGGATTTGAGATTATCTGTAAGTTTCTTTTCTCTCTTGTTTAATTCATGAAGAATGGTTGAATTGGGAGAAATGAATTATTGTGTTGAATTTATTTTACGTAGCTAATTTCTTTCTGCTAGGGATAGGGGATGATTGTTCTTGATTAATTTCATTATTATTGGGCTTTAATCTGTTCATGCTTGTGCGAGTTGCTTTAATTAGGGTTAATTAATTCTTGCTTGATAACTTGATATAATCGAAGGGTGACACTTCGATCTTGCAATTGGTATCAATTGAATGTTAATTTGTCGAGTTAGGGTTTGTTGATTCTATATGATTAGTTGATTGAACACCTACTAATTGAATTAGCGACTTTTAGAACCGAAAGGGGAGAAGTCGTAGACCTAGGCTCGCATGATATAGATGATTTCGTGACTGAATAGTCTATAGGTTTTGGATTGAAATACGTACTTGCTGATGACCCGTCTCTTGTTACAAAAAGTTATTGAGACTGGGATAATTGACATGTGTTGTATGCTCGAGCTAGCTCGTCTATGTTCAATCCCTTGTTACGAAGAGTTATTGGGAGCGAACCGCTAGATGTCTAAGCAAGAGTATCAATCTCGAACCGAACAATTGATTGCCCAGTTTTGCTTAGAACTTGAATAACTTATCCCCGATTCCCTAGCTTCTTTATTGCTTTCTAGTTCGTACTTTAGGTTCGTTTTTGTTTGCTGTTGATTTCTTAGTTGATAATATATTCCTCATTTCTGATTAGAGTGTTTAGGTTTTTATTTTCTTTTTGTGTGAAATCAATACCGAAGTTAAATTCCGAACCGCCTTCCTCGAGAGATCGACCCGGGAAACGAATCCTTGATTCGGTACTCGGTAAAATATAACAATTTGTGCTACAACAAATTTGGCGCCGTTGCCGGGGAAGGCAAGTAGGATATTTAGTTTTGGTGTTTGATCTTATTTTCTGTGTTTCTCTTTATTTTAGTATTTTAGTGTTTTTGTTTCTTTTGTGCATATGTGTTTTTCTCTTTTGTTCTTGTTTTAGTTTTTGTCTTCTTTTCTATCCTTTTTTCTTGGCTACGCGTGGTTGTTTGGTTCTGGTGTGCAGGTACAATGAATTTCAATCATGGGTACTCCTCCCTGCATTACACATCTTGGAACGACGAGCCGGTCTATTCCCCGGGTACCACACCCAACCTTACCCGAATTCTTCTGAGCAGTGCTGGAACGATTTTTCGGTTGAGGAAACTTATGAGTCCCACGAGTTTAACGAGAAGCTCGACCAGATTCTCCATTTCATAGAGTCCAATTCAGCTCGAGAAGAAGAGGCCGCATACAATGCCAAACTCGATCTCATCTTAGATCGATTGATGGCCCGAGGAAACAAGAGGAGGAGATTGAGCTCAGATGTGCCCGATTGAGCTAGCACGTGGAAAGTCTAGCAAGGCGCATCGACTCGATCGAGTCCCAGGCCCACAAGCTCGAGGTTGTGGACCCACATCCCATGCCCGAGCATCCAAATGAGCTCCAGGACGACTCCTCCGAGTACAATGCCAAGCTCGACCTCATCCTCGATTGGATGATGGCCCGAGAAAACCAGGAAAAGGAGATTGAGCTCGAATGTGCTCGGCTGAGCACCCAAATAGAGAGCCTCACTGTACGTCTCGATTCGATAGAGGCACAAGTCGACAACCCATACCTCAATATTGACCCTCAGGCTCGAATTCTGCAACAAATGTGTGAGGCCGAAGAGGATGACATTCTCCCACGAGCCGGGTACGATGCATTAGAGGAGGAGGTCGATTCACAAGACCCTCCTCCCACCTTCGAGTTGGAGTATCCGCCTCCGAGGCCACTGCACTGCTTTCCGGAGGTGATGGTATTTTCTTCGACTTGCTCCATTGATATGCCTCTGATTGCCGAGGTTGACGAGGGAGCTCGGTTGGGGAAGGCTCTGTTCCAGACATTGGGGATTTCTCGTGAACAGACTCACTACATCAAGAACGTAGCCACTCGTGCCCACAGTGCTCGCCTTCTGGCCTTAGAGCCAGCACTGCCACTGCTCGAGAATACAAAAGCGTCGCACGATCGTCACTTCTTCTTGGACCCTGGCTGAGTTCCTCACAGGTGTCGTCAAGCTAATGACGTTAAACAAGCGCTTCTTGGGAGGCAACCCAAGTGATTTACTGCTTTCTTAGTTATTTTCTTTTTGCTTTTTATTTCATCTTTTAATAATTGGAGTTTGGAGTTTCTGTGTTTTTCTTGGCAGGTACGAGTTTGCGAGCTTGAGCAGGACGAATTTCGAGGTCCAGAGTGGTGCATGGGCGAGTAGCTCGTATGTGGATGCTTATTCTCCTCGAGGCATTTTCGGTTTGCACACCCTTTCCCTTTTATCCTTTTTGAGTTGTTCTCCTCCTGTCCTCTCTTTTGAGTCTTGTGTTCTTGTGGTAGTTGCTAGTATTGGTTTGCTATATGAAAGTGCTAGGTCCTTTATTTGACTTCCTGTTTTGAGTTGAAGCAATGAGGTCATTGCCTCATTTTAAGTGTGGGGGAGTCTATTTGGATTTTGCATGCTTATGTGGTGGACTGGTCTAGTTTTAGGTTTTTGTGTTGTTGAACATGGCATTGGTGAATTATAGGATTTGTTGATGAATGTTTGATGAAATTGGGAAGTTGTGATGATGGTTGTGTTGATCATTGCCTCGGTATTTGCTTGATTGCTTTAAGTGACATATATTATTTACCTTGTGAGATTTTGATCCTTACTCTTGTTTCTTGTGAGATATTGGTCATATTCTTGAATGGTTAGAACTTGCCTTGAGTTTGTTTGAAAGGAATCGATTAGAGTTTAAAATTGTGAATATGATTGAGGCGTTTTGATTGATTAGCACACTTCTGCCTTATACTTTGATCCTAAATTCATTCCACTAATAGCCCTTTTTGAGCTTAAAACCTTTTCTTGTCAACCTGTTGACTGATTTGTGTGATGATTGGGGGATTGGTGGCATTTCTAATTATGGTGGATATTGAGTTGCATTGTTATTTGCTTGACCAGTAAAAAAAAAAAAAAAAAAAAACTTTGAGAGTTCACAAGGCGAATCGAATGGATTATGCTCCTCTTACTAGTCGATTCATTTTGACAGGTAATGAGCATTGGGAAACTACTGTAGGAAACTTGGATGACCTCCAATGTTCACACCTACAGAATGTTGTCCTTTTGATTCAATCTTGTTGGGAAAAAGTTACTCTCCAAATAAAAAAAAAAAGAGAAAAAGAAAAAATAAGGTTAAGTGATGATGTTGCAACCTGTTCTGAGCATCTATGTGTTGTTTGTGGAATGTTGGTTGGGTAGTAAGTGTGTCGTCATGATTATTCTGGATGAGTGGCGGAGAACTCGAGTAATCTATTTGCTCGAGAATTGTGATTGTTTATTTGAACTTCTTTTCCTTTATATATCCTTACCTTAAACCAAATAGCCTACATTACAACCCGTGAAGTCCTCTTGATTCGCAAGTTTTGAGCTTTGATTGTTTCTGAGTAATTTAAACGATTGGCAAGCATATGTTGAAACTTGAATATTGACCAATCTGAGAGAACCTATCATATATTCATGTAAGAAAATGAGTGAGGTCTATATTATAATCTATGCGTTTGAGAGTTTGTCATTTCGAGGCCAAGTTTATATTTGAGGCATATGGTTTCACGGTCGTTGGAATTCGACCTGGTTGACTTGGACATTTTGAAACTCTTCTTATTTGAATCGATATCCATGCTCATGTCTTGTTTTCTTTCCTTTTTGTTCGGGACGAACAAAGGTTTAAGTGTGGGGGAGTTGTTTGTCCCATTTTTGTTGCAATTTTTGTGTTGATTTTTCCTTTCTTTTTCCCCCATACTAGGTCTATTCCTTGGTTTTTAGGTTGTTTTATAGTTTATTGTGTGTTTTGCTTTATTTTGGTTTTTCTTGTGTTTTCCGTTTGTTTTTCCGGTTTTTCTTTGTTTCTGGTGTGCAGGTCGAAAGCTTCGGGAGAATCTATTTTCCATGATAAGTAGGCTAGGTGAACATCATTTAATAGAGCATTTCGTTGGCGACGCACAGGAAAAAGCGGAATCGAATTCCGATGTCAAACGAGTCCGAACGACTCCGAAAGGTGAAGTCACGCAAGTGGTCCGAGCACCAGTACTAGCGCCGCGCCGAGCCCCCGCGCCGTGACACCCGTCACGGGCCTTCAGACGGTGCCTCTCCCAGTGCCGCGCCGTGGAGCGCCCCGCGCCGTGCCAGCGTCCCAGCCTCGCGCCGCGCCACAGGCCACGTCC